TTCCACATGCTGTGTTAGGAAATTCCTGTCAATAACGTCTACCAGCTTCGCTCCCCAGGTCTCTTCCCCGCCATGGGGATTCCTCGTTTCCCAATCTATCTCTCCGTGATTTAGGTCCCCCATGACCAGCAGCTTCGCTCTCATTCTATGCGCTAAAAATGCTGCCCTCTGCAGTTCATCCATACATGTCTTGTTGCTGTCCTCGTACTCCTGCCTGGGCCTTCTACTGTTTGGTGGGGGATTGTAGAGTATCAAGATTACAATCTTCTTCCCATCCACTGTCAGAGTTCCATGTATGAAGCTTGTGCTTTCATTGGTACCCGGATTTTCCAGCTCGTGTGTGTGTGTGTGTGTGTGTGTGTGTGTGTGTGTGTGTGTGTGTGTGTGTGTGTGTGTGTGTCACACACACACACACACACACACACACACACACACACACACACACACACACACACACACACACACACACACACACAATCATAAACACCATCTGTAACAAGTTTAACAATTATTGTTGTTATCAGATAGCGTGGTGATACATTACTTGGAAGGTGGAGGTGTGGTGTGTCCCCAGGCCGGAGGAACTGAGGCTGTTGGGCCATCTCCCCTCTGTAGCCAGCTAGTGTTAATTACCTTCATCACACGCCTTCCTCCCATCGCCAGACAATACCATATTTTCCCTTTGAAGGAGGCGGCTGGTGGCAATTAGGCTAAACTGCAGGATGCGGTAAGGAGTGAGTAATTGACGGGTGGAGCCCGGACGTTGGTGGGGAGGTGGTTATCTTGAGGTTATCTTGAGATGATTTCGGGGCTTTTAGTGTCCCCGCGGCCCGGTCCTCGACCAGGCCTCCACCCCCAGGAAGCAGCCCGTGACAGCTGACTAACACCCAGGTACCTATTTTACTGCTAGGTAACAGGGGCATAGGGTGAAAGAAACTCTGCCCATTGTTTCTCGCCGGCGCCTGGGATCGAACCCAAGACCACAGAATCACAAGTCCAGCGTGCTGTCCGCTCGGCCGACCGGCTCCCTGCAGTGGAGGGAAGGCAAGAGAATTGCCAGGAGAAAGTGCCAAGCCATTACGACTATATAGCACTGGGAAGGGGTCAGGATAAAGACCTGGGATGGGACGGGGGTAAGGAATGGTGTGCAGCCACTTGGACGGTCGGAGATTGAACGCCGACCTGTACGAAGCGAGACGGTCGCTCTACCGTCTAGGGGCCAGATTCACAAAAGCACTTACGCAAGCACTTACGAACGTGTACATCTTTCCTCAATCTTTGACGGTTTGGTTACATTTATTAAACAGTTTACAAGCATGAAAACTTGCCAATCTACTGTTGTTATTGTTATAAACAGCCTCCTGGTGCTCCGGAGCTCATTAACTGTTTAATAATTGGAAACAAAGCCGCCAAAAATTGAGAAAAGATGTACAGGTTCGTAAGTGCTTGCATAAGTGTTCTCGTGAATCTGGCCCCAGACCAAGTGGCTGGCGGAGGAGGAGTAAGGATGAATGGAGTTCCTGGGCGGAACTGCATGTCACACAGAGCGTTGAGGGAGAGGGTGTTAACGCGGATTACCTGAACGCAAAACATTTACCGACTCTTCATGTCTAATATTTATTCAACATTATTCTTCCAAATAATCCGTGTTTGATCTGAGCCGCCGACTGATCACTGCCTCTCACGGACAATTATAAAGCACAACTGTTTATGTTTTAGTAAGACTTGGCAGGTCTAGGGAGGACCACCAGCACATGGTGACGACAGCTTGGCCTATAATGGGGAACACTACTGGTGGCCACTCACCGCTTAATTAACATATTAACATTTTTTTTAAAGAATTTGATCCCATTTATTTAATTGAACATTCGTTTTATATGAGAACAATGAAAAAGTATGACAGGCTAAATTCATTCTTGTTTTAATATTGCGTCGAGGCTTCATCAGGGAGGTTTGTGCAGACATTGTCAATAACTTGAGTTACAGGTGGACAGAAGTTATTAGTTACAGGTACCTTACCTTGAGGTTACCTTGAGGTGCTTCCGGGGCTTAGCGTCCCCGCGGCCCGGTCGTCGACCAGGCCTCCTGGTTGCTGGACTGATCAACCAGGCTGTAGGTATATCTTGAGGTTATCTTTAGATGATTTCGGGGCTTTAGTGTCCCCGCGGCCCGGTCCTCGACCAGGCCTCCACCCCCAGGAAGCAGCCCGTGACAGCTGACTAACACCCAGGTACCTATTTTACTGCTAGGTAACAGGGGCATAGGGTGAAAGAAACTCTGTCCATTGTTTCTCGCCGGCGCCTGGGATCGAACCCAGGACCACAGGATCACAAGTCCAGTGTGCTGTCCGCTCGGCCGACCGGCTCCCTGAAGGTAGACAGAAGACAGACAGGTAGACAGAAGTTATTAATTATAATTATTTTAGGCTTCCGTATCTAGAGCATACTAATACTCTTTGGTTCCATTTGTTTTAATAATTTGTGATCGACGAGTAGAGAATATTTCTGACATGAAACTTGCAGCTCTTAGTCCTAAATGTTTCTTTATAACAGGAAGCTTTCCGGTAAGAACGTTCAGGGCATCTCCCCTGGTACTGTCTCCAGAACCATGCCCCCCTTGGTACTGTCTCCAGAACCATGCCCCCCTTGGTACTGTCTCCAGAACCATGCCCCCCTTGGTACTGTCTCCAGAACCATGCCCCTGGTACTGTCTCCAGAACCATGCCCCTGGTACTGTCTCCAGAACCATGCCCCTGGTACTGTCTCCAGAACCATGCCCCTGGTACTGTCTCCAGAACCATGCCCCTGGTACTGTCTCCAGAACCATGCCCCTGGTACTGTCTCCAGAACCATGCCCCTGGTACTGTCTCCAGAACCATGCCCCCCTTGGTACTGTCTCCAGAACCATGCCCCTGGTACTGTCTCCAGAACCATGCCCCTGGTACTGTCTCCAGAACCATGCCCCTGGTACTGTCTCCAGAACCATGCCCCCCTTGGTACTGTCTCCAGAACCATGCCCCTGGTACTGTCTCCAGAACCATGGGCCCCCTGGTACTGTCTCCAGAACCATGGGCCCCCTGGTACTGTCTCCAGAACCATGGGCCCCCTGGTACTGTCTCCAGAATCATGCCCCCCTTGGTACTGTCTCCAGAATCATGCCCCCCTTGGTACTGTCTCCAGAACCATGCCCCCCTTGGTACTGTCTCCAGAACCATGCCCCTGGTACTGTCTCCAGAATCATGCCCCCCTTGGTACTGTCTCCAGAATCATGCCCCCCTTGGTACTGTCTCCAGAATCATGCCCCCCTTGGTACTGTCTCCAGAATCATGCCCCCCTTGGTACTGTCTCCAGAATCATGCCCCCCTTGGTACTGTCTCCAGAACCATGCCCCCCTTGGTACTGTCTCCAGAACCATGCCCCCCTTGGTACTGTCTCCAGAACCATGCCCCTGGTACTGTCTCCAGAACCATGCCCCCCTTGGTACTGTCTCCAGAACCATGCCCCCCTTGGTACTGTCTCCAGAACCATGCCCCCCTTGGTACTGTCTCCAGAACCATCCCTCCCCTTGGTACTGTCTCCAGAACCATCCCCCCCCCTGGTACTGTCTCCAGAACCATTCAACAACGGCTCTACTGCAGCCGTTGTTGTGCTACCAACACCCAACAACTACCACCACACACACCCAACAACTACCACCACACACACCCAACAACTACCACAACTCAGGGGACAGTAGGAATGTAGCTCCCGTCACTTTCCAACTTTCCTAAAGAATGGTGACGGTGAGGAAGTCACTTATTGAAGTCGAAGATTTGTATAAGTAGTGACGAAATACGAAAAAAGTTTAAAGAAATTAAGAAACTGAAGAAAATTGTGTTAAATACCAGTTTCCGCGCCGCGGATACAACATTTTATCCCGTGACATACCATCTTCCCCGACCAGATTTTCACCTAGTAAGTGAGGACGGAATTAGATGCCCATTCCAGTTACATGTGGACTCATCTCATTGTTTGGCGAGGCCTTTGGGAGCCCGTCCGACGTGGTTGTGCAAGAGGAATCGAAAGGAACGTCTCCACTGCTCCAGGAGGAACCGTTCTCGACCAAAAATAGATTCACTTCCGTGGTCTCAGATTCACATCCTGAATGCCGTCACAAGCATGTAGTATAGAGTACCAGTATGGGTGATTGTCATCTGGGTTTGACAGGACTGACCATTATGTAAGGATCTTACGTAATTAAGATGCGCATACGGATGCGCATCTTACGTAATTAAACGGAAAGTCTAATTTTAATATTATTCATTTTTATTTAGGCAACAAGACTAAATTTGTTTAATTATTTGCGAGTGATTTACGATAATGTATCATTAGTCTGCAGTTACTGTATCTGCCGTAAATGACAAGGACTCCCATTTACAAAATTTTAAGAGAATAATTTAAAGTAATTTATATATTTTCGTATGTGTTAGGTTTTGTAGTGCTATGAATTAGCTTTAGTAAGTTGTAACTATTGAGCACAAGCTTCAAGCAGCTTTAGGTAACTTTAATTTATTCTTGAGTGTTCATCGTTTTCTGATAGGCTTCCTTGATAGGCTTAAGTCCAATTCAGAAATAAAAGCACGTACATTCTGTATTCTGCACAATAGTTTTTAACACGGTGCAGCTGGAACAAATAAAGATGAGATATTCATTAAAGATTATTTTAATAATTCTTTGTATTGCGAGATACGCAAGGTATGGAGTCTGAGGGATGCTCGCTCCTTTGCCCTAATGTGACTGAATCGTATCTAATTATTATTGTTATTTTGATTTGGATTTTCCTTCTTCGTCATTTCCGTCGCCTGAAGGGTGACTTTTCCTTCTTGGTTGACGATGACATTCCACCCAGCAGCCTGACCATTGGCCACGTCGACGGGGTTGAGAAACGTGCTTCAGCGAATATTACTTCGTGTAACTGGTAAAACATGGAATTTGTAAGCTTTTTTTTTGTACTTGTTGAAGGTGATGGGTGAAATTCGAACCTTCAATTTAGCTCAAATGATGGACATGTCTTCTTCTGTAAGTAAAGAATGAAGAGGCTCTCTTTCTTCATTGTATTCATTACTAGTTTTTGATTACCTTCCGTGACGTCATGAACATGGCTGCCTGTGAGAGTGCTTGTGTCTTGTATCATTCGTCTATTGTGGAAGTGTTTCGGGGGGTGGGGGGTGGGGGGGGTTGCCTGGGCCCCGTGCTGGTACCTCTTTCAGGTGGTATCACCCACTGTGTTCTTCACACTGTTGTTGGCTGGTGATGCCTGACGTGGCGGGTTCTGTGTGCCCTGTAGCAGCTCTCGTCAGGGACTACCTCTCCAGGCATTTATGAGGTCTGGATTGGAAACGTTACAAGTTGTGGCATAGCGTATAGTTGATGCCCGAAACGCTTTGCGTAATAGTGGCTTTAGGCATTGTATGTACTAGCCCTATCTATAAATCCATCACTCTTTGTAAAATCTCTTGTATGTATGTACCTTACCTAAATAAACATTTGATTTGATTTGATGTGCTATACGCTCAGACACTCGTCCTGTTCCAGCGATCTGTCATTATATTAGAATTTGTGTGTATATGGCTATCAAGTTTACTTCGTTGTCTATTAGGCGGCTCATTATTCTCTATTTATACACCTTTCTCACTCACTTCTCCAGTCCATTATACACGTTTTTTATGGTCTGCCTTATGTTGTCTGGTGGTTGGGTAATGTGAATCAGACTACTTAACGGCAGTAAATCATTAATTTTTATATACAAAGGCATCGCTTATTCGTTGCATAATTCCGCAATCATGTAAGTGGAAGTTGAAATGAAAGTCCGGGGGATTAGTTATTATTTCAACTTTTTTTTTTAAATGATAGGGAAGCCTGCAACTTATTCTCACACTTAATGCATCGCAGTTTTAATGTATTCGACCATAGTGTAAAACTTCCGGTTCGTCAGCGAATTAAAAGTGCTGTAATCCTCGTGGCGCAGTGGTAAGACACTCGCCCGGTGCTTCACGAGCGCTTTGGCCTGGGTTCGTATCCTGGCCGTGGAGGATTGACCGGGCGCCAATCCTTAACTGTAGCCTCTGTTCACCCAGCAGTGAATGGGTACCTGGTTGTTAAACGATTTGGCGGGTCGTATTCCGGGGAAAATTAGGATTAAGGCCGGAAACGCCTGCTATGCTTGTCTTTACAAGAATGTAAGAACTCTTGTATATATAAATAAATAAACACAACTGAAAACTCTCACCCCAGAAGTGACTCGAACCCATACTGCCAGAAGCACTCTGCAACTGATGTACAGGATCTCTTAACAGTTGCAGAGTGCTTCTGGCAGTATGGGTTCGAGTCACTTCTGGGGTGTGAGTTTTCAGTTGCATATATGCCTGGAGACCGTTCAGGCTTGTTCGCAAATAAACACAAGTAATGTTGACGCTTCCTTTACGGGGCTATTCATGCCCATGCCACCTCTTGGGTAGCTTAATCTACATCAACCGACGGTTCCTCCTAACTAATGATAGGTTGGGTTGCCTAAGTCAGAGCGCTTCTTTTTAGGCAAACCTGCCAAGCTTGACCCTTGCCATGTCGTGAGAACAGGCAGTCAACCTGTGGGGATTTATTGGTATATGAAGATCTGAAAATATTATATGAAGATTTAGGGGTGAGATATGATGATCTGTGGTTATATGACGATTTACGGTTATTTGTGATAATTTGGGAGTGCAATATAGAGATTAAGAAATCCTATGTAATTGTTATTTATATCGGGGTACTACCTGTGTTGCAACTGTGGGGAACCCGAGCCGGTCGGCCGAGCGGACAGCACGCTGGACTTGTGATCTTGTGGTCCTGGGTTCGATCCCAGGAGCCGGCGAGAAACAATGGGCAGAGTTTCTTTCATCCTATGCCCCTGTTACCTAGCAGTACAATAGGTACCTGGGTGTTAGTCAGCTAGCTGTCACGGGCTGCTTCCTGGGGGTGGAGGCCTGGTCGAGGACCGGGCCGCGGGGACACTAAAGCCCCGAAATCATCTCAAGATAACCTCAAGATAACCCGTAGCCTCAAGGTATTCAGCAAAAAAATATGAACATTGTCAGAATACATGACACCCCAAAACAAGACCCCAGGCCAGTACCACCAAGCAACCCAACAATCACTAGTTCGGTCGTTACCTTTCATTACTTTGTTAATCACACCGTGTAACGTTGCCTCCTTTCTAACGACTAAACACACGCTCCTGAAAGTAAACATTCCACACTTGAGTTCGTGAGGAGCAAGTCACCTGCCTCTGGGTACGCCACGGGCAAGAGATCAACTGGAAACGTTGTTGCGGTGCTTCGCTGTGACGGCCCCGTCATTCACCGATTATGGCGGGAACTGGATCTCTCTGAGGGAATATTTCCCGTCTTCGACTGTGCGGCGAACTTTTTTGTGGGTTTGTTGTTATTTGAGTGAAATGGAAAATGTTGGAGGGTGTTGGTGGAGAGAGAGAGAATTTGGGACCGGCAGCATAAGCAGAGATATTGTGGAGGACATCTGGCCCTTGCGTGGGGGGGGGGGGGGGGGAAGGTTGAATTCTTTCAGCCTCTCTTCATATTTAAAATCTCGAGTTTATAGGCAAGTATAATTCTTGTGGGGAACCATTTTTTTATTTACTTTGTGTATTGTGCATGCTACTGAAGTTATATAAATATATCAACCTATTCTCTTGTTTAGATAGTACCTATTGTGACGTAATCAGTAATCAGAATTCGTACGTTCTTAGCTTTTAGATAGAAGTATACTGACTAGTAAGAAATTCTTTTAAAATAAGTGAGGCTAAAACACAAACGTAAATATTCCTAGGTCTAGTATAGCACACATATGTACTATATTAGGCCTCAGATATGTATTAGGCCTAGGGAGGTTAGAACAAGTTAGTTAATTTGTCAAAGTAACACAAGTAAAAAATAGTTTTCCGTTTTGTCCAATTCAATAGTTCAGAGTTCCACTTTCTAATTTGGTTGTAGGTGGGTATATATACTATGGTCCTCATCGTTACTATAAGTACTACCGAAACAGGAGGATGGTGGATGGGCTGGAATATATGCACTTCCAGTTACAAGGTTGGCTTGATATCCACCCCAGTTACCCATCCGGTTTACACCTGCAGTTCGGTACATATAGATAAGTAGTAGGGTATCTATTTGAGTTAGCAGGGCCGAGCTTTAGCTCTTGGATTCGGTCATTGGAGCTACAATGACCTTTGAATGACCACTGATCATCTCGGTTTCTATCGCATCTTAGTGTTCAGTTACTCCTAATATATTCCATTCATTCATTGTACCGAGCCGGTCGGCCGAGCGGACAGCACACTGGACTTGTGAGCCTGTGGTCCTGGGTTCGATCCCAGGCGCCGGCGAGAAACAATGGGCAGAGTTTCTTTCACCCTATGCCCCTGTTACCTAGCAGTAAAATAGGTACCTGGGTGTTAGTCAGCTGTCACGGGCTGCTTCCTGGGGGTGGAGGCCTGGTCGAGGACCGGGCCGCGGGGACACTAAAAAGCCCCGAAATCATCTCAAGATAATCTCAAGATACCTACACTGAAAAATGTTTCCTTAAATGTGTATGGCTCATTTGGTCTCCATCTTTCTCTCCTACGGCTTCCTATATCGAACACTTCAGGTCTTTCAGACTTGTTTCCCAGATTCAACAATTCTGAGGCGTTAGTGTGTCAGGTATGTCAGGTGTGTCAGGTTGGCATCAGATATAAATGTCACTTAAGCGTCAGAGCTGTGTCGAAGAAATGTCAATTTCGTGTATATGTATGTATAAAAATTGTGACAAGCAAGTGTCAGGTGCAACATAAGTTTCTGATAAAACTCCTCTCCGCTCCACGCCTCGCCATGTGCCCCAGATCAGGTGTCGGCAGGGAAGCAGGCAGGCATGGAAGGAGGAGGGAAGCAGGAAAGCATGTAAGTAAGGAGAGAGCAAGGTAGACCAGCAGCCAGACAGGCAGACAGGCTCCGACCGCACCCCTCCGTGTTATACTGCTTGCAAGTAAGACAATCTTTTCTAAACCTGTCTCCGTGGTGCCCCAAGCACCGGCTTCCTCAGTCATAATGAACAGCTTTGCTTTTATTTGCAGACGATGAGTCACAATAACGTGGCTGAAATATGTTGACCAAACCACACTAGAAAGTGAAGGGACGACGACGTTTTGGTCCGTCCTGGACCATTCTCAAGTCGATTGTGAATGATCCAGCTTTGTGATTGCTTTTATTTTCCCTGTCCTCCTCGTCCTTTGTGTTATATAAGGCAGGAGGTGTGAAAGATAATAGGAGAAATCTTGAAAGGAATAGTGGCGAGTGGAATAATCGGTTTAAGGGTCGGTGGAAAGCTAGATGTAGGGCCTAAGAGAGAATAAGGTTGGTGAAATGTGGATCTTACCTCACGGGAGGCATCTCCCGTCACGCAGGGTGCAGTCGCACCTCCACAGATCTCCAGTATCATCTATTGATACTGGTAATGGCTCAAAAAGGCCACCACTTACGGGCTATTCATGCCCGTGCCACCTTTTGGGTGGCTTAATCTTTATCAATCAATCGATCTTACCAGTTCATGTTGACCAGACCACACACTAGAAGGTGAAGGGACGACGACGTTTCGGTCCGTCCTGGACCATTCTAAAGTCGATTGTGAGAATCAAGATTCTCACAATCGACTTCAGAATGGTCCAAGACGGACCGAAACGTCTCATAGCTGAAGCACTTGTAGCATTGTCTCGCGTTGTAGACCTTCCCAGTAGTGGGAACGCCCATGCCAAGATGCTGGATCCGGAACGCCCATCCCAATAGTGGGATGGGCGTTCCGGTCCAGCATCTTCTGTAGGTCCGCTTGTGTTACCACGATTACCGTGCCCTCGCTACCATGCACATGGACCTCAACTGGTCCCACTGATGTTGCCTTGTCAATGGCTGCTGCAATTTCGCGCGCTTGTAAACTCCGAGGAGTCCCACTTTCACTTCGTATGTTATGATCTCTGGCAATGGCTGGGATTGTCAGGGGAACCTGGA